CAGTGGCGGCCTTAGGGGGTGGCGAGCAGGGCAATCGCCCGGGGCCTCGCTCTTGGAGGGGCCTCGCGCAACAACCAAGTAGAAAAAAGTTGATATTTAAAACTTTTTATTTTATCCTTGGCTATTAGTTATAACAATAAAATAAATTTAATTTATAGTACAGTATATATTAATATTAATAAGTGCCTACTATTTCAATTCACATACTTTGCACAAAGGACAAGGGCCTCGCAAAGATCTGCCGCCCAGAGCCTCGCAATGGATAAGGCCACCGCTGACTCGAAGGGTCTAACTCGAGACTACCGATTATGTGAGTCATAGTAACACGAGTGAGTTCGATGACGTCAGTTCGAGTACAACACGAAAAACTCGAGACTAAGGACCCTGGCTGCTTCTGTGACTTGATTTTGAAACGTTTTGTGTAATTTAAACTTTTATTTTTAACGTAAACATGCTTTATTATTGTTAGTTATTATTAACAAGTTATTAAAAAGATTTCTAATAAAAACTAAATGTTACCAATACTGTATCAGTTGATTTCAGATTTTAATATATTTTCAAGTTTTTCAAATAATTGACTACTAATCTGAACTAATGACCTTTTTGAGCCCGGGTCCGTTCCGTGAAAAACCTTATTTGTAAAAGTACAGAATGAAGAACACGTTAGTAGTTCCGATCGAAACTGTCTCGGCACTCGGTGTGGAACGGTTCCGACCGGAACTATCCACCTTTAGTATATATGCTGTGACAGATTGTTGTGTGCTTACTTATGGTAGCTATTTCTGATGCAATTGCTATTTACAGTAGAACCTCGATTATCCGGACCTCTATTATCCGGATTGTTCAAAATAAACAAAAATTTTACGAATTTGCTGATTTGCACTTGGCGAATTACGATACTGTTTATGTACTGTACGTGATGGAATGCATAACTTTTTGTTTCAACAACGTCTCACCCGGCACAGTGGCCGTAAACTCTTAAATATATTTTGCGTCGTAATAAAAATATAACTTGACATACGTATTTATAAATAATTTTTATTCAAATTACATCATTTCTATGACCAAGGGCGGCATAAGGCATGGGCAACGTGGGCCACCGCTTATGCCTGGCGGTCCGAAGGGCCTCGCGTTTCGAAGGTTTATGCATTACTTAAAAGTCGCGAACACAACGAAAAAATTTTATTCGTCATAAAACGATAAATAGATTGTCAAATTTTTATTCATAAAAATGCAGTTTCAACTGCTTTTTATTTTATAAAATCCGTCTTCTTGGGCTACCAGAGGGCCTTTTAAAATCTGTCTTTTAAAATCAATAGGTAGTCCGTTAGCGTTGGTCAGTAGTAGTCCAAATTCAATACGAACGTTTGTTTCTTGATAATTTGATTACGGTTTAAATACAGTATTTACTTTTAATATTATCGATATGTCATCGAAAAGAAAACGTGTTGTATTATCATTAAAAGACAAATTAAAAAATTTGTTTCGATTATCCGAATTTTTCCTTATCCGGACTACCTTCATCCCCCATTAGCCCGGATAATCGAGGTTCTACTGTATTTAGACTCGAGTGTGCGGGAATTGTCACAGGAGCATAACAGGAATTTCACCAAGTTGCTGTGCAGTTAATTGCACGGCAAGGTATAAAAAAGGATCCGGTATCACTTTTCACCGGTAAGTTAGATATAGGCCTAGTTGCTCTGATACCATATCGTCGGTTGGCGATCAAAATCTCAACTCCTCCTGGAGAAACATTAAACTTCCCTCAGAAGTCTGTTATTACACACTATGTATTGTACGAGGGCAAGGTGAAAAGTTCTCGGCCTAGTAGTGAAAAAATGAGTTTTTTATTTTAAAAGTGCATTTATTTCTCAATGTAGTCTCCCTTTAGTTCAATACACTTTGTCCAACGTTTCTCCAATAACAGTATTCCATCCCTGAAGTGCGATTCTGGAAGGTCTTCAAAATATCCATTTACCGCTGCTATCACCTCTTCACTTGATCCAAAATGTTCTCCCGCCAAAAATTTTTTAAGATTTGGGAATAAATGAAAGTCAGAGGGAGCCAAATCTGGCGAATAGGGAGGATGTTCCAATAATTCATACTTCAAATCCCTCAATTTTCCCATTGCCAAAGCACCTTTGTGAGCGAGTGCATTGTCCTGGTGAAAGAGGATTTTTTTCTTTTGCAAACCAGGCCTTTTCTCTCTAATTTTTTCATCTAGCTGGTCAAGAAGATGTGCGTAGTATTCCCCATTAATTGTTTGACCCTTTGACAGGTAGTCAATTAAAAGAATCCCTTTGGAATCCCAAAAAACACTAGCCATAACCTTTCCAGCCGATGCAATTGTCTTTGCTTTCTTCGGTGCAGAGCCACCAGCTTCTACCCACTGCTTGGACTGTTGTTTTGACTCAGGGGTAAAGTGGTGAACTCATGTTTCATCCATCGTAACAAATCTGCGCAGAAAATCAGTTGGATCCTTCTTAAAACGGCGCAAACATTGATGAGAAAGTCGATTTCTCATTTGTTTATGATCAACATTTAACAAATGCGGCACCCATCTTGCGCAAAGCTTTCTCATACTGAGTTCTTCGTGTAAAATGTGCCTTACCCTTTCTTCTGAGATGCCTACAGCCTTAGCTATCTCATACACCTTTAATCGTCGATCATCTAGAACAGTGATGGGCAAACTTTTTAAAGAGCGGGCCAAAGGAAAAGAAGAAAACTTTAGGCGGGCCAATATAATTGTAACCTAGCGCTGCATCTGAAAATCCAGGTGGCGCTATAAAAACATGTGCAGGCCGTCCGCCATATTTCTTTTTCTCTCTTTCCGCTACGCTACGCACGACGAGTGGATGTTCTGTACCGAAGCATGCTTGTAACCGATCGAGCTTTTACTCAATAAGTGTAAAAGAAAATTTTGTACATGATTGTAAATAAACTTTCATGGTGAGATATAAAGCTTCGGTTATTTTATATAATCAACGAACACTCAAGTTAAGTGGTGCATCAACCACCACAGTTTGTATTCTTTTTTACTCGTCAGATTAGGAATAATGTCGCGCGGGCCGGATAGAACATTTCAGGGGGCAGCATCTGGCCC